CTAAGGAATAATATTCGGAATGGCTTAAATAAAAGGAAAGTAATTGAATAGTCAAAGTAATTTCATTTTCTTTGCCAATACATTATACAGTACGGAGGTTGGGAGTTTCTCCTCAAAATCTCTAATATTGAAAGCAGCAGACTTTTTTTTTTGTCACTGTCCAATCTGGATTGAATAGGACTAAAAGTTTTTGCGGTCTACCCCAACTCAAGCAAAGATTGATTCTATTCCGGAAATTTAATACAGTGTGTTGAAAATTAGAATCGGAAAGACCCCAGATTAGTAAGTCTCTTTCCTTTCCTTTATTTAGTTCTTCTTTCTCCAAATACCGGCAGGTGTTGGTTCCAATTGCGTAATATCGCATATGGAAGAATTATGCCGCACGTATTGCGTAATAACATTTGCGGTATTTTGCATTGATAATTAATTTTGATGTTCAGTCTGAGATTTGTTTATGAACACTTAAAAGAGTTTTTCTGTGCTTTCTAAGCAGAATATTTCTCAGTTCCGTTGGTTTTTAATATGCACATATCAACGTCAAAATCATTTATTTAGCTTAAATTTAAATCTAAAGAACGGCTACAATCTCCCCCACTCCTCTTTTTCCAGTAACTATCCGGAAAATTCGGGAATTTCCGAGTATGCTGGTTAGTTAAGCTTTTACTGTTACTGAATGAAGCAATTTCCCGTCTTCTGATTTCAGAAATGTGCCTCTTTTTTTACTTAAATTACTTAGCTTTGGATATATGTTAAGGGAAAACTGTTATGCAATAAAAATATAGAAAATGTTCAGAATTTTGATTTAAGTTAAATTATTTAAATATTAATATGAGTGGAAAATAAATTGTATTTATTATTAGGTGCAAACAAATACCAATTAATATGGCTTTATTATTATTTATTTTTCATTTTCAACTGAAAAATCATAATTAAATTTGTAATAAAGTTTAGTTTCTGCATAGTTTTTTTTCTCTCATTGTAAACTAATTCTGTAAATTGAACTGTGTCGTTTAAAATAAAAAAAAAAAAGTTTATTTTTTTTCCATTGTTGAGGTAATGCTCATTCTCTTAATAAATATTATATTGCTCATATTTTAAATTACAAGTCTAATTTTTCTTTTAAGGTTATGCAGTTGTGTATAATGTAATTAGACAGGTGCTTATATTTTCCTTAAAATGTGCTTGAAAAGTGCTTATAAGTGCTTATTTTTTTAACTAAAATGTGGCTATGAACCCTGTAGAACTACTGGTGTTAATTCGCCTAAAATAATTGCCACCTTTAAGTGTGTTTTTTTTTTTTTTGTGTGTGGTGTTATCTTTTATGTTACGTTTGAACACATTCCAAACTAAGAGACTTTTAGTATTCTTTAACCACTTGTGCTAAAAAGACTTGCCACGCACATCAAGATGCTTTTATCTCAAACCGCAAGCGACGCGAACACCACATCAGTAGGCATTTATCGCACAAATGAAAATAACATGGTGCACATGCCACCTAACAACGAGATTGTTTGGAACAGCCTGAGTATAGGACCCCATTGGTGATTTTTTTGTTTGGCGACCAGAAATGTCGCCAAGCCATGGAAAAGCCGTTAAAATTGAAAACACAGGTTAGAAAGCACGTTTTAACCAGAAACAATTTTAGAATATATGTTTAAACAGCAAATTTGAAGGTACATAAGTAAGTAGGGCATATTGTAAAAGCAGTTAAAATTGAAAAAAGATGTTAGAATGTACATTTTAACAAGAAAAATTTTAAATACAATTAGCATATATTTAAACAGGAAACTGAAATAAATAAATAAATGGGCATATTTTTAGCAGTCGTACTAAAAAACAAATTAAAAGCTGTAAAATTGAAAATAGGAGCTCAAATACGTGTTTAATTAAAAATATAAAAATAGGAGTTAAAATGCATTTTTAAATTAAAAGCAAAGAAAGTTTGAAATACACAAGTACATGGAGGCATATTTTAGCAGCAATATTGAAAATGCAAGTTTTAAGATAAAATGAAAACAGGAGTTCAGAATAATGTTTAAATTAAAAATAAAAGAAATGCTGGAAATTTATAAAGTTTACAAAATCATGTAAATTATAAAGAAATCAAATACTCTGCTGAATTTATGTCCCTTATATTTCTAGAATTTGTTGATACATCATATTGCTCCGTCAAGAAATGACAGGTGCCGATGGAGTTGAGATTTACTGGGTTGCCAAAAACAACCGTCAAAAGTGCGGCAAGCCAAAAATCGCAATGGGTCTATATCAAGCTGTATCGATTGTTTATTTCTCAGTTGCAGTCTGGATTGCCTCGCAACGCGGACGGCTTAAATGAGCACTTACCGTGTTATATTGTAGCGCTGGCTCCACACATGAAGTTTAGTGTAGTGCAAGTGTTTAACCCCTTAATCTACAATGATGGCATACCGCATACAATGTCTGGCCAAACCTACTTCATGGGCTAGCCCATGCGTGCGGTGATCGGACAGAAGGAAATAATAGAATTTTATGCGCAATTACAGTCTATGCCAATAATGTGGTGACGCAAGTATTACAAAAGTTTATTTATATAAAACTCTAAATACAAAATTAGTAATCTGTAAGGTATGATATATTTCAAAGTATTTGTACATGTAACGAAATTTTATGCAGTGTTCTAGTGATTTCTCTTATTGATCTGCACTCATCATTTCGGTTACAATATTGTCCAAAATTGTCATTATTAGATTAAATATATCAAATTTCTTTCCTCCTAATTGACATAAGGCTTCCTCTCTTATGCCAGGAGTCATCGTATAGTCTCAGATTTTTAGACTGTTTCATATTTCTTTCCAAAGCCAGAACTCTGGTAGTTGATCGTCATCGAATGTATCATCAATAATTATTCGCCTATATTTTCTTTGAAAATTGCATAATTCGTCATGTTTTACGATTGCCCATATTAACCTGTTACGCAATTCGTGCAAATGTCCTGAACGCTGCGCGAGCTTGTATACAATTTCGGCCCAACATCTTCGAATCTAAATTATAGGTTAAAGAAACACGCCACATTTACTAAACATTTATCCGCAATTTCAATGCGTTTTGTCCATCCATCGTTTCTCGTGAACATAAATGAAAACACCATTTGGGAAATTGTGTTTTGCCATCAACATTCTTTTTAAAATAATCATAGATTTTAATTTTCTACCATTCCACTAAGTAGGAAAGCACTGTGTTGAGATTTTTCATGGTCTGTTGTTTTTATGTTAACCTTTTTTGTTCCTTTCACATCATGTATTGTATTGGAAGCAATTCAGCCAAGAACCCGTTAAATGTAAACACTGCTAACAGTGGCGATAAGAGTTCACACATGTTAACCCAATGGATTTGCATGTTCGGAGGTAGCAACCATTCCTCTTATGTTATTTTTGGTTCCTTATATTGGCTGTTCATTTTACATGTACCATCATACTGATTTTCACCTTTGTACATGCAATTTATTCTTCACTTATACACTGTAATTTTTTTTCTGATCTCCGCACTAACTTTCCTAAATTTTTAACAAGGAATAGATGAAATTATTTTCTTTCAATTAAGGTAGGTATAGGAAACAAATGCTTATCTGCAGTGGTGCGTCTTGGAAAGATTTTATTGCCTTCATCAAAAACATGTTCAGGGTGAAAACAATAGCAGATCTGTGGAGATTCTGATGCTGCTGATTGAAGCACATGGCAAAGGGAACTCCTGTTATGACTCATCACAGGCAGGCATGGGTATTATGTACACCAGACTGTTAATCACCCCATAAATTTCATTAGGCTGGTAATTGGTGCACATACCCAGTGCAAAGAATCAAACAGGCTGTCTGTGAAAATAAAATGACTGGAAAAAAAATTGTCTTCATAAGGAAAATCTAGCTGTTCACATAGTTGAATACCTATTTCGCTGTGAAGTTAAAAAATAATGGCAAGATCCATCCAAGGAAATTTTAAATGCAATTAAAGATTATATCCTTTTTAGGTTAGTATGTCTGGCAATAAACTTAGTTGCATGGGTTTTTGAGAAAAGGGATGGTTACTTTTTCAGGGCAGTAAAAAAATGAAATATTTATAGATACAAGTATGCAAGTTTTCTTTAATTCCTGTAATAGAATTAATTTAGAATCTGTTTTGACACTAATAAAATTAACTTTCTTATACTATTAACCAGCTAATTTTTAATTAAAAAAAAACTAAACTATGGTGCAACCAGCCTTAGAGCCAAGGCCTGCAGTGCCCCGAAATCTGCTTTCTTGACCGTGGGTCCCGAGGTGCATAAGCATATGCCCTGAACAAGTGGTCAGCTTGTCGCAGGACCCCGTGTTTGGTCCCCAAACAAACATGGTACTCATGTTATCAACCCAAGGGATGAAAGGCTGAGTCGACGTTGCTCAGTCTGAATTGCTTATACTTAATATCTTGCTTTTCTGCTAACTAATCTAACAAATTTGATTCACATATGCTTAGTTTAATATTATGCTATGCACTAAATATCAGGTTTAAAATGCTAAATTTGATTTTTTATTTATACTTTATATCATGTTTTATTTCTAAACTTAACTGTACATTGCTAAAACCATTAGTAAGCTTGGTGACAAAAGGCATTGTCGGCAACGAGTTCTTTTTTCCACATAGAGCTAAATCATTCAAAGCTATAACTGCACTACACCAACTCAAAATTCCTTAAAAGTTTTCAATTTAGATTGCTCTAAACTGAACTTCTGTGGCCGAGCAGTAAGTGATTGAACACTGGTAATTCAGGCTCTGGGTTCGAATCCCAGCAAACAGGCTGACTGCACAAGTGTTTTCTTGTGTGAAGAAAGTCCTGCACGGAGATATCTGTAGCATGCTTGCCATAATCAAATAAACTTATACTAAAAAGCATTAAATTTTAGCTTTTGTTGCTTTATTTTCAGAAGTAGAATGTTTTTGTGTAAAATTTTTTTTAATGATTGTGTGATCATATCTGATATGTTATAGGTATTAAGATGGCACCTCGTAAAGGAAAGGTAAAGGAAGAACAGCCTGTTGTTGCTCTTGGACCTCAAGCTTTAGAAGGAGAAAATGTGTTTGGTGTAGCACACATTTATGCAAGTTTTAATGACACATTTGTTCATGTGACAGATTTATCTGGAAGGTAAAATATGTTATTCACTTTCATTTTTGTGATGAAATGTCTTTTCTAGTTTATGTAGAAGGTGAAAATTTTGGTTTGTTTTTTTATTTTCAAATATTTGTCTTGTCTTTAAGAAATTGCTAAATTAATATTTATGTAATGGCAAGAACTGATTCATCATCTATTTTAACTCATATTAAAGATAACAAAAGAATTAATATGTAAAAATTTTTACTTCGCTGAATTTGAGAATTGTGATTATATCTGGATATTTATAGCAAAAAGCAGCGTTCACTTATTCATTACTATGCTGGAGAAAAAGTTAATTTCATTTGCTTGTCAAACTTACTAAAATGAAAACTAGTAGTTAAGTCAGATAATTAATATTTAATCACAAGTATTGAGTAATGTTTATAAATATGCCATGGTGTTTTCAATTCGTTTTTCTTTTTGTATCACTGAATTGAACAGATAAAAGTATGTAAAAATGATAAACTGTTACACACTGTTCAATACCACAGCCTTTCATTTTTTGTGCAGCTAACTCTAGCAATACGTTAAGAAAAAATTCATTCTTCTGCTTGAGTGGCAACTCTGGCTACAGTAATTTGTTCAAATCAGCTCAGCTGTCTGCTTACAGCAGCCGAAATCGTGATTCATCAGACAAGATGAGACGTTATTCGCCTTCAACCATCCATTCTAATCCTTTTAGTATTTAAAAAATTGCAACCACAGCAATCAGTGACCTCATTAGCAGAGAAATCAGAGTTAGCAGCCCGACTGTTATAATATAGTTGCAAATAAACTGTCCTTGTGCACAGACTTTGCAAAGCATTTGCATTAACCGTTTGACTGACACAGGCTCTCGCCGTAACATACCAAATTTTTCCAAAACTGCCATGAGAGAGGAAATTTTCTTTATTTTAATACCGAAATGTCCCTGGTATTTTTTACTTGAATTTATGTGCTTCGAGTGCCATAATTTCTTAAACATATTTCAATGATGCAGTTGCTAATATTGAACATCTGACATTGTGAGCAGTGGTGTAGTAAGAGGAGATAGCTGTCCCTGGCCATAGCATCTAGGGTGGTGCGAATTAGATGTTCATCGGTGCATTTTGGCCATTAGGAAGAAACACGAAATCTTCTATTGTCCCCAGGAGCTGAAAATCGTTGGTACACTTCTGCATGCAATTGCCGACAATTTGTCCATGTTGAAACTCGTCTTAAGTCACTGCCTTCAGTCATGTTAACAGTGTGTTCGTTGTTGCTCTGATGCATAAACTTTGTGATACTAGTGATAGCCATATTATCTTGTAAGTCATTGGTTTCCGTTATGCTAATTTGCATGGTGTACAGTAATAATGTTTTTTCTGTGTATTAGACTTACTGAAAAAGATACGAATCCTTAAAAGTAGCATTTGAAAGTGTCTGATGTGTGTTCAGCACAGGTAACCTATAAGTTTTTGTGTCAGAAAACCCACTACCACCTTAAAAATCACTAACTTAATAGAAATAAAGAGTACTTTTCCGTTTCGTCGACGTAAATCTCACCAAGCAGACTTTATTGGCGACAACACACAGTGTACACATAAAAAATGTAGACAAATGTTAGTTCTAAGAAATTTTTATTTTAAAGGTGTAAACATTTTATTGTCGTTTAAAATTTTGTAAAAAAAAGCCAAAAAGACGATAAATTTGTAAAAACACCTTAATTTAAGAATTTACTGTGCTTTCATGGTAAAACATTCTGATTCGCCGGTTCATATTACGTGTCCGCTAGTGATTTCATATCACGTAAACTACATTACAAAAATCTAATTCTCTCGGTAATTATCTACATTAATTTCAAGTTAAATCTGAATTTGGAATACAAATTTAAATGCAAGAATTATTTCTACTCGGATTCTTACAATTCTTACTCAGAAATTATGTGAAACCGTAGTGCTTTACTTCGCTAGTGCATTCTCATTAGAATTGAACCCTTTACTTTGCTTTTTCTATATTTTTGGGTGAGCGGTGTGATTGCATCATAATTGACTAATTATCGCGAATGGCCTTAGAGCATAAAATTTAACTCCCTAGTAAAAATTCTGTGTAATTGTATGCCAGTGTTGAAAGAAACAATGAATCTGATAAGAAATAGCTGCGACTTGTTTTGAAAATGAGGTGTGAAATGTTATCAGCGAGGATATTCCTATTGGTGTCTTTGTCACCTGCGCCGGCTAAACGGAAAAGTACCGAAATAAATTTTTGGATCTTTATTAAGTTTTTATTAATAGAATATAAATGATGAGTAGACCTTATTGTTATAATCCATATGTAAAATTTCTATTGTAAATAGGATGTTGCTGTCTGACAGACTGAAAATAATAATGTGTGTGGGAATTCGTAATTGTTTCAGACATAACCATTTTTCACAAATGATAACTAGTGAAAGAAGTAATAAATTAGAGTTGATTCTTTGCATTGGTCGTATTGTGATTCTTAGAATCAAGGTGATTATGTTTTCACCCAATCATTTTTTGTAACCATATTGAAAGTAACAGTAAAAGCATTTTAAAATAAAACCACAGATCCCAACATTTAAAAATATGGTGTAGCAAAGGAAAGAAAAATTTAACACTAATTCTGCTAACTTTTGAACTTTCTTTAAATGACATCAAAATGAGGGAAATACATTGTAATTTGTTTATTAACCAGATACAAAGGAACTTTTGAAAAAGAGAATTTTTTACTGCAGTTATTAAAAATTTTAAGTGGTGCATCGGCTTAACAATTTATCTGATTTTTTTCAGTGATTTGGGTTCATATTTGAATAAGCTAGATTTTGTAATTGACTCAGGTATGTAAAACTTTCTATAGTTTCTATTTCCTTTTTTAGGGAAACAATAGCACGTGTAACTGGTGGTATGAAAGTGAAAGCTGACAGGGATGAAGCATCTCCATATGCAGCTATGTTAGCTGCCCAAGATGTTGCAGAAAAATGTAAACTTGTCGGAATAACTGCATTACATATTAAAATCAGAGCTACTGGTGGAACAAGGTAAATAAAGTGATGCACTTAAGTTGTTCCTATTTATACACTTTTCTTTTTTGTATTCCATTTCTTTTATTGGAAGTTTAAAATTCCTTATTTAATCATGAGTTTATAAGAATTTACAGTAATATGATTTAAAAAATCAGAATGAATGTTGGATTTCTAAATCACTGAGTGTTAATAATTGTCATTGTAGAATTAAGCTGATAATGGGTTGTTGTTTGGTACATATAACTTATAAAACAGTTTTAAGTATGACTAATCTTGCCATGAAATATTTTGGAAGATTTTGATGCTTTTTCTCAACTTTTGCCTCTTGATGATAAATAATTAGTTATTGTGGACTACAGCAGGATTAAAGATATGCTTTTTTTTTTCCTTGTAAAATATAAGAAGCTACTTCTATATTATCCTGTAGATCATGAAACTGTGACCGAGCAGCATGATTTAGCTCCAATTATGGATAAACATGACATCACAACATCAGTTCTTTCCTGAGTTGTATCTAGATAAACAACCTTACATGAATAAGGATATAAATTAACTGTTGTTGCTTATTTTTTCTTTTCATTTTTTAATGTGTTCTATCTCTGCAGAATGATATTTGTGTGTACCTGAAATTGCAGCTGATCAAGAGAATTAACATCTTTTGAACAGGGTGCGTCATTTGATTTTGGTCAACAAGTCACTAACAGATTTTAACAATCACGTGCAAGAAGTCTGTGCTCTTGACATATTAAATAGAGCTTCCAATAAACTAATAGGCCTAACAAAATAGTAGGGTAAAAGTATATTTTAGTGTGCCTCTTGGCGATTTTTAGCGGTACGCAGATACCGAGTTTGTGCAATTCTTTGACTTGTTATTTTGGCCTGCGTAACAACAATTTTTGCGCCAAAAATCGCCGCTACGCGAGCCAAAATAAAAAGTCAAAGAATTGCACAAACTCAATATTTTCACTTTAAAAAAAATCCCACAATTTTACAAAAATGGCATTGCGCACTCCCTTGACTTTATGCATGTACACATCGACCTATTTTCACTTAAAAAAACATCAAAGAATTGCACAAACTATCCTTTACGTGTTCGAGTTTGTCCATGTACACATCGATATATTTTCACTTAAAAAGTTAAAGGAGCACCCAATTCTACAGTAGAGGCAAACAAAAAAATAAATAATCGCAATAAACTGCATTTTAAACAAAACGATAAAATAACACAAAAAAGGGAAAACCTGTTATGTATTTTAGCAATGTACTACACAAAGCAAATATCTCCTTATTTAGAAATTCATTTGTCTTCAGTCTGTAGCACACAAAATTCCTTAACAGCATTATAAAATTATCTGAACTACAATTCGTATATCGGTGTCGCCACAGAAATTCACAAAAATATACTACATAGTTCTGGACTATGGATACTAAGTAAACTTCCCCCTTTCGTTCCAAATCGTACAGAAACTTCAAATTAATCCTACTACATTCAGCCATTGTATGGTCTAAACAATGAAGCAATGTACTTCCTAAGCAGCACACACCACAAAAGCCCTTGCAAAACATCCCATGATTCAAAATTTCCCAGAATAATGCAAACGATTATGTCATAATAGGGTTTCTGTAACATTCAACTACTCAGGTTACCATAAATGATATAACAACCTTGGCGATAAATGAAACACAACTTTGCTGTAATACAAAAAATGAATTGAAAGTTTTTATGAAGAGCAAAAACAAAGTGGGCTGGAGGAACAGTTGGTGCAACTTTTCATAGTCAACAAGATAATGTATATGTATCGAGAAAAATTAAATAGTAGTTATTCATTTACATTGTAAATGATTACTTGGTTAAAATAATCTATATTGGCACACTTTCAAAATCAGATAGTTCTTATATTTTAAGTACAGTGATTAAGCTATTTGGGAAATGTAAGCAATTTGTGAGAAAACGTTCTGTAGTTAATGTTTATCAACAGTCATACAGTTCAGTGAAAAGTGAGGTACATTTTTATCTAATTTAAATTTTTTGTAATTTGTTTCATAATTATTAAATGTATGTTAAATGCGTATTTTATGGGACATAAATTCTCTGACTAGAATTGCACATTAAATATAAAACAAATATTTTTGTATAAGAAATATATATAATTCATATCCTTATTGCTATACACAAGTCATTCAGCATGTTAGTTCTGTATGTGACATTAATTTTTGTTTCGCAAAATACATTTTATGAATTAATTATTTTGCAATAAGCTGTACTAAATTATGATTTGAAGATGGCAGTTTATTTTTTAAGTACTTTTTGTTATGTAAGTGCACAATTACCTCTCTCACAGAAATTTTTAAAAAGCCTGTATGATTTGCATTTTCTCTCCAAAATATTTTACATAATTATTTTGATGCAGAGAATGTATTTTTGATCTTTCGAGAAAGGGGGAAGTAATGTTTTTCTCATTTGATTTCATATATGTTTTGAAGATTTTAAAGTGAATTTTTCAATCTTTTCAGAACTAAAACACCTGGACCAGGTGCACAAGCAGCCCTAAGAGCTTTAGCCCGTAGCGGAATGAAAATTGGGCGAATAGGTATGAATTCTCTTCTGGTCTGTTCATTTAGAAAAGTGTGACTGATATCCAGAAATAGTTTCTTTCTATTCCTGCTTTATATATTTAATGAGGAATATGTTGTATATCATATAAATATTTAGATGCTGTGTAATATTTGCATCTTGCTTTTCAAGAAGGAATATTTGGAGACTTCAGTTGTAATCTCCTCACAAGCATATTTACTTTACAAGTTTATGTGTAAGATACCTGAAAAATGCATTTTGCTCATGTGATTAGTCTGTACTTTGATGTTTTAACACCTGTCTTGGGTTCAGCTGAACTTAACCAGCGTGATTATGATTGACTAAAGGTATCACATGTATTTGTATGTGAATTTGCACCTCAGGAATTTCAAAATGTCATTTCGATCTACATTAAACTTTGTAAATTCAAACAGTCTGATCTGTTTCTTCTAGAGCTTTACCTAGACTGGGAACTAACCAATGCTTACTGTTGTACAATTCAAGACTAGTGTGGTAGTCTCCAAGAGAAAGTGGAAACACAGCAATGTAGTGAAGACGGTCAGGTCAAAACTTCCACGTGTAGTTAGGGCAATTGTTCTAATTTTTTAGTAAAACTGCTTGTCATTCAGATGTGCACAAATTGTAATGAATGAACCTTGTGACAAAATGAGGCAAATAGTGGAAATGTTTAATAAATAGCTTTTGGTTAGTAAAACATAAGTTCCACAGGTAATGAAGGTAAACTGTAAAATCATGCTAGAAATAAATATAAATAAATATAAGTAATAAAATATGAATGGAAATGAGAAGTTCGGAAATGCTTTTGGTGGTATGTGCTTTGTAGAAAAAAAGCACTGTTAATATGTGAAATTTTGAATTTGTTATCTATATTGCATAAAATATCTCATCATATGTACTTTCATTTTGCTGTTTGTTAAACATGTTTTAAGAGTTTTATGATACACTTGTGTAAAAATTTCCATTACAAGCATATGCTTGAGTAACATACAATATATGCTGTAAAAGAAAACCAAAAAAGTAGAATTATTAAGAAATCGGTAATAAACAATAAGAATCGATGTAAAAAATAAGTTTACTCATATTATTTTTCTCAACTCCCAAAAGACATCATCAGTTCCTTTCAAAATGTCTTAAATTCTGCTAACACAGTTTTGCAATTTCTTTTTATGTGGCAATGAATTTTATAAATTTTTTAAACCAATTATTCTGACTTGAAGCATTTCATTAACCCATTAACCGCCAAAACTACAAGGAATGTCTCTTTTCTCATGAAAATAATAAAAATATTAAATTAAGCATTTATAACATAAATTTACATTGAAAATTTAAAAAATGCTCTTACCTGTGGAAAAAGCGAGCGTTGCGTTCGCGCAACGTCAGCGAAATAAGACTACGGATGTTTATTGAGTAGGATTGTACTTGTGTGATGTTTCTTTCGAGTGGAGCGCAGGATTACTTTTTAGCTGTATAACGTTTTATACATCTACAAATCACTTTACTTGTAATTAATTTAATATTAAAATATACATTGTATTTCTTTTGCAAATACAGATTATTTCAATTGAAAGATTCAAGCATGAAAAGCTTGATTACAATCATGATGTAAAGCTACATTACATACTTTGCATCTATAAACAGTCTGGCTATGGTACTCTTTACAACAAAGTCTTGTTATCAACGGACTTTACAATAAAATGGCTACCATCTCCATGCAGTGGTTTTTGAATGCTGAATTTACTAGGTCTTCCTGTTGCTGATCTATTTCTGGTTAATTCTACACTCTCAATAGGAGTTTGCAAAAGGAGGAATATTTCCAGTAGTAAAAAAAAAAAAAGTGGTGATATTTAGTAAGTTTAGATACCGTCTCACCTCATATAATTTATCAGTATTGTCAAATGCAAATTATGCTTCATATTCCTGTACTGCAAACGTGATATCGATTCTCGTACAACAGGAACAGAAATGTCCTTATCAAAAGACCAATACATTTTTTCTTGAGGTAAAGAATGATATCCTGTAAGCAATAATATTCCAATAAATCTTCTCATATAGGCTTCAGATGCAATATCCCCCCCCCTCGAGCATATATATTTGTCTGTTCAACGAGAAAAGAGTAAATGTCTAAACCAAAAAGAAAATCGAAAATCTGTGCACTAGTTTTACCTTGTGTTTTGTCTTTTAAAATTTGTCTTCTATCTCTTTCCTCATGTTCTTCCTGAGACATGACTAACAGTTCCTTTTTTATCCACTTCAAGATTTCAGTCTTCTGCTTTTTAAACTTTTTAGTATGACTATAACTGCTTTTAGAAAACTGAGACTTACTTCTTAAGTGAATTTCAACTTCCCCAGCAGTATCATTTGGTAAAATATCATTATCATTATTTAAAACATTGCCATTCCTTTCTTCTCTGTCACTAGCTTCTGCAATTTCTGGGGGAACAACAACAATATCAGTTTCATTCTGGTCATTATTAACATTATCATCATCTGTTTCTTCATCAAAAAGTCTTTGAAGGGCTTCTTCTAATGTAAGATACCCCGTTCTAGGCATTTTTAAGTAACCAGAACATCGAAAGAAATGAATGAAAAAGTAGATTGACTACCTGTTTCCTGCTGAGCGCAACACCTGTTTTCCCTTCCTTCCCAACACAAATGTAAACATCTGACTGATGTAATGTTCTGATAAACGGTGACCTTGACTAAAAATAGATCACTCATAAAGAGGGCGATTCTTTCGTTAAATATTTTCAGCAAAAATACCAGGTCGAAAATTTTGCTTAAAGTACGAGATTAATTATTATAAACAAAATGATTGTTGAAGGCAAATATTTTTTTACAGAAATAGTCTTCATAATATTGCCTACACAAAATCATCTGCTGGTATAAAATGTCTTAGGTAGTTATATTTATATAGCCATTTATTTTCACCGTTCCGTTAACGCAACACCTGCGGCTAATGGGTTAATTGCAGAATTTTTCGGTATAGATATCTCTATAATTTAATAAATTTTTATACTGCTGTGTTTTCATAAAAACTAGTTACCTTATTGTTCATGATTTGTTTGAAGTATGAAGGAAACTATAACTTGCCAAATGCTTAGTATTTGTAATCTTAAATTGTTATTTGGACTCATTTTCATTTGCTCAACATTACTTTCTTCCCTGACACATACAGAAAAAAAAAAATTGAGATTGGTGATATTGAAAATGTGCATATTCTGTATACCTTTAATGGTGTTTTTTTAAAATGAGGCCAAAAAACGTAACAAATTTGGAGGAGATTTTGAATAAAACTTTATTTCAAATGTAGTCGCATGCCAAAAAATAAATATTTTTGCCAGTTATATTATTGATTATTGGAAGATATCGTGCGTATGAAAGGCAGTAAAACATTTTAGCCATTGTGAAGTGACAAAGATTTTTTGAGACAGTGACTGTCTGTGTGATGCAAAGCTACCAATATTTTATACAGGTGTTTTGTAGCATCAAATAAAAGATATGTGTATGGACACTTGGTGATTATATTATATGGTTTCTAGTTTCTTACCACTGATGGTAAGAAATATTACCAGTGGTATTAAATATTACCAGTGGTAAGAAATATTACCAGTGCAATTAATATTATCAGTGGTAAGAAAACTTTACTATATATATATATATAGTAAAGTTAAAGGTTGGAATATAAATTAAATATAAATTTAGTTATATATTGTAGCTGTCATGTATAACATGATTTGATAATTAAGTTTATCTTAATTTCTTTTATGTGTATTCCAAGAAATGTAATATGTAAATCAGTTCTGCATTTGATATTTATAGCTACTCATAACTTTTCTCTGTCTCTTTTGCAGAGGATGTGACACCTATTCCATCTGATTCAACTCGTCGGAAAGGTGGAAGACGTGGTAGACGTTTGTAAACACCTGCAAAAATCTGTTAAATAAACGTTAAAAAATTACTTTTTTAGTTTCTTTCATCCTTTTAAAAAAATTTCGTTTTGCATTTTGAGATATTCATATGTAGAAATAAACATTTTCAACATAAAAGAAAACAAGAATATATTTTTACACTTCCTTCACTTCTTTTCATAATTAAAAGTGTACATAAACTTTTTTAAGATTACATGCATATACAATATTTACATGGAGGGGGAATTACTGGTGTAGAATCGTGGATCATGAAATGATATATTTGTCAGTGGCAGAATTGAAGTTTTTTTCCCCCGCCCTATCTAATTATATACTATCTGCACATCCAATGATACCGACTCAGAGTCCTGAGGCATATATTGATATGATGTTGGTCTCTGTTTTGCATCGATGACAGTCTGGAGAGGGACTTTCCACCAGATTTTGATAGGTGGCCATAGGAATTGACTTTTAGGCATCATGTAATCTGTGTTCTAATTCATTGCAAAGGTGATCTATAGAATTTAGTTTGGGGCTCATTGCAAAGGTGATCTATAGAATTTAGTTTGGGGCTCTGAGAAGGTTAGTCCAGTTTTTGAATGCCTATTTTGTGAGACAATATAATTGCCATGGAATTGGGAGAGCAGAATGTCCACATCACATAATTCATGTTTTCAACCACAAGAACTAAGGGGCCCAGGCCATGATGCTGCACCACCAAACTTGACAGTCGGCACAATGCAGTCATTTAAGAAGCGCTTGCCTGGCATCTGCCAAATCCAGGCTTGTCCATCAGACTGCCATATTGTAAAGTGAGAGTCATCACTCCAAAGACCCATGACTGTGAGCTTTGCACCATTGCAGTTGATGGTTGTCATTCTGGAAAGTGATGTGCAGCTGCATGAATATGGAATCTCAGTTTTTTTAACTCTTAGTGAACTGTCCTGCTGCTAGCACTAGTGCCTGATGAACTTTGGAACTCCTAAGGGAAGTCAACCAACAAGGACTTGCAATTGTTTTTTGGTTACGTATCACCTGCCAGATCTACGTCAGGAGTATGCTTTGAGCCAGATCGTAATTGTATAGATCAATTTGTACAAAAAGGAAAATGAACTGCAGAATTTCATATGTAGACTTTCATTCATACAAATTAGTACAGCTCATTTGGAATTATTTGTTGTTGTTGGCTGGATTTGCTGCAGTACAGGCAGGTTAGTTTGTTTCCTTGTGTTTTTATATCAAAAGGATTGTGCAGTTGAAAATCGCTTTATACTTACATGGAACTAATTTAACCTCGTAAATAATAAGCTGCATGCAAGAAAAGGTGTATTCATGTGCGATAAAAAATATGTTAATCAAAATTATAACTTAAATTAGCAGTAGCTTCATAATTTCTCATTTTAATTTCAGTATTTCCCCTCTTCATTTTAAAAATTGTAAAAACTATTTCTGTACTATTAATTCCAGATTAATCCTTTCATGTGACTTATGTAAGGATAATTAGATGATGACAGCTAATTCGGAACTTAAATGGAAACCTTTCTCTATAAGATGCTGTATTGGATCACTGGGTAGTTTAGATTCCGAGAAAGGGACATAACCAAATTAAAAAGACTACTGTTGAATTAAAATTAGTAATTTTATTTTATATCTTACATGCATAGCTGTCAACTTCCCCTCTTTAATTCTTTGTTTCTAAGGGGGGGAATTAAATTTATATCTCCTAACTCTTGCTAAACTGAGAGACTCAAAATTTTTCTTACATTTCCCAGTAGTCCACTAAATCTCTTAATTCTTCAGTTTTTAGTCTTCACTAAGGAACGTATTAGTCAGCAACAATGGAATTTATTGCATTATTCCATCCTCATCTGAAGTGACTTTTGAGATAATTTTTCTTATAAATTTTATTTGATGGCAATTCTCTCAATCCGGTTTTGACAGTTTCAAATTTTATATGAAGATGCAAACCAGTTAATATTTATATTTAATTTTTGTACAAGATGCATTAAGTTTTTCTTTACAGTAATATACGTGTTTATTATCAATATTGTTTTCATGTTTAAAAGTGCTTTGTTCAGCTTTCCTTCACTACTCCATATATATTTTACCATGGTTTCACCTAACAGCTGTTTTTCCTGCTTTTATACATCAAGGTTGGTAGCTATGTATATGCCAATGATCTGACAAAGCAACTTACTGCAGTCACTGGGTCGTCGAGTGCACCGAAAGAGTGTCGTAGTATATCGCGATTAGTGCAATGTCGGAAGAGCGTTTTGAGCTCCAGGAACGACTGAACCGAACAGTCGGGAGCTGTGCTCGTGTGTTGTCGAGTGCATCGCGAGTTGTAGCGTGGAGTGTCTCGAGTGTACGTGGAGTTCCGAGAACGACCAAGCAGAGTCGGGAGCTGTACTCCGGAAAGCGGAGGCGTGTTCTTTGCAGGAAGCTGTCTGCACCGTGATAGCCTGATAACCTGAAGGCTGTGTCGCTGATCGTGACAGCGTGTTAATAGTAATTCATCATCGACTGTAAAACGTGTTTTGGAACTGTCCTGACAATACTGGTAAATAAAGTGTATTTCGATACTTCATCAAGCGTCGTTATTCACTCCAAATCTACGAACCCCGTACGAACGTGAAGGAAGGATATAACGTAACACCTGGCGTCAGAAAAGAAAAATGCAACAATAGCTTACCTTTATTAATATAAACAACTTTAAATTTCAAAAGTTATTCGTCGCACATCATGATTTCTATCGTGAACAATAAAAAATTGCAATAATTAAACTGCACATATAAAAAAGGTCTATATTTATGGCATTTGCTTTGTGGTTTCAGGGCGGCGCGACCACTGCTCCACTAGAGGATTTTAACACAATCCTTTGTCTTTGAAACCACAGAATTATTTTATTACTAAACAATACATGCACCTGCCCAGTGAAAAGTCTTTCTTTTCCAGAGATCTTTATGTGATCTCACCACACTTGCTTCCCAAGCTAGTATTGTGAGTTTATAAATTATTTGGTATGGTTTAAATTTTAGGTAAATATACTTTGCCATAATTAAAAATAGAAATCGTGTAAAAGTTTTATTCAAATTAAAAATATTTTGGAACGAAATGCGAATAAAATAAATATTAATGGGAAACGAATGATCCGTACCAAAGCCAAAAAGACCACGCCCCCTTCCATTAACATAAAACCCACAAATTTCATGTGCCAGATGAAAAGAAACGCTGGACATATACCAGTGAAATTTAGAAGATCCAGGCAGTGTACATTTTGTAGCACAAGGAAAAAACCTCGTAGAACAAGATTCATATGCGAAATGTGCAATGTGGGTCTATGCAAAAAGAGAAAACAGGCTTTAAACAGTGTCACAAAATATTTGTTCTTTGAAATTAAAAACAAACAAAAAACCACTGAGTTTTTTTATCCTTAATTTACCGAGCTTTTCATCCATTTATCCGAACGTCCTTATTATGTATGTTTTTATATTTTCATTGCTATAGAAAAATTACATAAATGTTTATTTTAAATTTTTAGACGATTTACTTTGTAAAATAATGTAAAAAATTTACATATAATGCACCTCATACATACATTATTTTAAAATTCGCAAATTTTGTCATTTATTGGAAACGTTTTTCCTACTACCTCAGTAAGTTTCAAAGTCCTAGACTCGCGCTGGTTTCACAGTGCGACCACCACCCACAGAACAATGGGCAAGAGTAGATTTTTTTAAATTCATATATTACTTGTCTCTAGGATCATAATATTCAATTTCTAGAGTTTTTAGTTAGAAAAATTATAAAAATAATATAGCGCGCGTGAAAGGGATATACCCTCCTCTCTCAAGCAATTTAAGATTAAACGTACAATGCTTTCAATAACCATCTGTAGATTCTGAAAACCAGAGTGAACATTTACTTTCAAGATCTTTCAGCTAATGAATTACTGTACTCAACGAAAAATTTCTCAAGCCCAATGTTTCGCTCTCCGCTGAATATAATTCAAATAATAAATTATTTGACTAATATTATTAATAAATATTCAATTAAGAGTTATGCGAGAACATGGAAAGATCATTCCATGTTTTTTCAGAGAGCGTTAAGGCTATCTTTCAAATTTTCCCTCAGTTACCAGTTTTGAACCATTCTACTCGTACATTAAATCTTTACTGAGCTGATACTCCTTTGAGATAATTTATAGAACTTAACCATAGAAAAAGAATGTGTTCAAATTATATTTTTTGAATAATCTCATTGTATATTAGGTGAGCATTTCATTTAATAAGTTGAAATTCAGCACAACTAATTTTAAACAATCTTTAAATATTATGAATAATGTGTTGTTTTCTACAACAGATTCGTTAAAATAAATTTTGTTTCTTCTCTTTCTTTAATTCTTACATTATGACGGTTCTTTTTGAATATTTCAATATTATTTCGTGCATCACATAGGATTAGTTATTTCATTGAGAGGAGGATGGCATAACTGAAAGTTAAAGAAAATCTCGAGGGATAAATCGCAAAATTCGGGGAATATTTCCAGCCAAGAATTTTCACTTACTCAAATTTATAGTGAAAACTGTAGAGAAGACTACATTTCTTTTATCATTTAATATTCTGATGGTAGATCAGTTCCCTCGCCATGTAATCGAAAGTATCAATTAGCAAAGTTGGAAATTCGGAGATTTAATGGAGATTATGAGACTGACGCGCTGCCTACTGCGCTACCAAGGCCTGATATTAAATCCTTTTAGAAGTCAGTTTTTCAGGATTCATGAGGATGAAGAGCTACCAGCTGAAGATAAGTTCCAGTATTTGATTCAGGCGATTACTCCTGGGTCTCATGCTGCCAGTTTAATACTTTCGTCCTATGCCTAATTACTGAAAGTACGATTTGTTAGTACAAGTGTATGTTCGTGAATTATTTAACAATGATAATGAAAATACTCTAAACTGTAGGAAATGTATAGAATTGGTTACTTTATGCGATCAACTGAATCACATGTAAGAGGTTCAGCTACGATAAGGAGATCTATAGAACGAAAGATCTTTTTTGTCTTCCTGAAGATGTTTTGAGAGCTTGGGAAGTATATCGAAATAACAGCTACGATGTTCTTGAAAACAAGGATTCCTTGAGATACTCATGAAAGTTTTAGTTGATGCTGAGGACGTGTTAAATTTGGCTCGATCAGGTTTCGGAATTCAAGGTTAAAAAGGAAGTTGATACTTCAAGAAATAGCACCCCTTCTCCTTCAGATCTTATTTCGTCCACTAAATGTATTTTTTGTGATAGTCCACATTTTAGTAAAGACTGTAGAAAGGCTTCAGTGATGACTCTCGAGAGAAAATCTCAAGTTATACGCAAAAGATGCTGCTTACCTTGGCTTAAAGTAGGACACATTGAAACATTGTAGAAGTACCGTTCGGTGCGCAATATGAGAACAATAACATTAAGCTCTGCTTTGTCTAGATTGGAAGAAAGGTTCCAACGAATTCAGTTTTCAAGCAAATTCTGCAGAAAGCAAGTGTACTACGTTATTTACAGGAGAATCCTCTTTACGGAAAATTTGTTTAAAACAGTTTGCTGTAAAGGAAGCCCATCTGCAGAGCGCGCTGTGATCACTCACACAACGCCGACAATACATAAAAAAGTATTTAATAATAAACTTCTAATTTTAGAACTTAAAATTTGTGAAATAACATTTACAGACGTTGGGCAATGAAACACTACCACCAATGCGAGTTCTCCTTAGCGCGTATATTTTAACTAGTAGTATTCAGGTATTATCATCGAGAGTTTCAGCTTAGTGTCCTTGTTTGGCTGGATCATGCTTCATGCAATTGCTGATACTAAAAAGCGGAATGTAGCGTTCTCACAGATACTTTCACTTAACAATTCGAGAGATGGCTCCACCTGTCAAATTAGGTTCTCGTAGTGAAGGGACGTCAGTGATCACTCGGACCTTTGCTCGGACTTCTCATTAGGAAACTGCACGCGACGATGGTATGAACTGTGTTCCGAGCTCTACTTTGATCTTTGTAATGTATTTTTGATTGTAATTTTAGTACTTAATATATTTTTTGTTATAGTTGAAATGTTTACTCTTATTTACCTTAATTATATTATGCAATAAGCACACAACCACCAAAGGAATTTTCAATAATTGGGAATATATATAACTTTTTATTTTCGTGGTCAGTTACTGATTAAAGATATCTCCACGTATTTTAGCTTCAGAATTTTCTGTTTTTTGTCCCATACAACAGAATGAATCACTTAACAATTAGAAACCGGATCTTCCTCCATGTTGCTAATATACAGTGTCAACAAAACACGTGCTGAAAATTTCAGGTCTCTTGTTAGCCAAAGCTTTGAATTTGCTCGGTTGGTTGAAATCTTTCATCTTTTGGGTTTACGTCAAACATGTCAAATTTCTCTATTGACAAGTTCTCATTCTATTTGTGTTAGCGGAGCCATCAAGTTCGCATACATTTCTTGGGCTCAAATATCAGCTAGTGCAAACAATTTTAAAGCGCTGAAATGATTTATAGCATTAGTCTCTGCTTAGTCGATCTAGCCACTTAATAGGTAAGCCAAGGGGTTTCAGCCTAAGGTTAAAGATGCCTTTTCAGGGGAGTTTTTAACACCCGTTCACTCTTGGGAAGAAGCCAAAAAACCGTGAACCCAACCTGTTCGCATGGTCTCGAAACCATATTGACCTATCAGTATTCAGCGGTGTTAATTCCTCGGTGGCTGTTGAATCCAATCAGTTGGATTATTCTGATACTTAAATAGTGAATGAAAGCATTTCAAAGCGAGCAAAATTGTTTGAATCCTTCGTGCCAAAAGACTTATTTTAAAGTGCACTGCTAGATGAATTGAAATGTGCACTGCTATTGAAAGCCTTGTTGAAAGTAAATTAGTACACATTTTCAGCTATATTTTGAACACAATCAAATCACCATGGTAACATCATAGTGTTATCAGGAAAGATTTCCATATGATCCTTTGTGTCTAATGTTACTCCAGTAATTTTGCATTTAGAATTTGTGTAGCAGTGCATTTATATGTATTTAAAATTATCAAAAAATACAAATCATGAGATTTAATGAGAAGGAAATAGCCTCAGTTGCAAACAGACCGGGTGATAAAGAAGGCAGATTATTTTATAAAGGGCCGGGTTTCAGAGAAGGTAACTGCTGCATTTTAAAATTTTTGTTTCATTTATAGATGTTGCTAGAATGTTATCAAGATACAGTCGCTCAAACAATTGAGGATACACCTTACTTTCACTTGATAAATCCAAGTTTCAATGGAAATAACACATTAACTAGAAGAGAAAACGTATTTATATTTTCATATGTAACAAAAGGATTAATTTACAGTAAAAATAACGAAAATCAACAAAAAAATATCTAAAATTAAAAATTTCACTAGTATTTGAAATAAACATAGGCAGATCTTTACCTCAAAAAATTAAGGATACAACAATGAAATTTTTGTGATATATCACATATAAAGACTGTGTCAATGTTTGGTTGCATGTCCTTTGGCTTTTATAATGTCCTCCAAAACGTCTTGGTACTGATTCGACCAATTTTTTGGTGATATCTGAAGATATTTTATCCCATTCTTCTTGTAACACTTGCTTTAAATGGGCTTAGTTCCTAATTTGGTGTTTTTGGACCACTGTTTTGAGTGTGGCCCACAAATTTTCTATGACATTGATATCAGGAGACTGTGGTGGTGTTTTCAATTGCTGTTTACAATGAAAAAGACACCACATTTTGACATTATGTGCCATGTGTTTGGGGTCGTTGTCATGCTGGAATATAAACTTTCCATCTAAAACCAATTTTTGTTGCACTTTCTTTAAGATTGTTGTGGAATATATCTATATAAAGCTTATGATCTATTATGCCATCTATAAAAACTAAATTTCTTACCTCATTTGAAGCCATACAACCCCAAACCATGACGGAGCCACCACCATGTTTAACTGTAGGACGTAATTTTTGGATCCAAGCGGAGTTCTGCTGCTTTCTCCAAACGGTGTGACGACCACTTCCAAAAATTTGAATTTTACTTTCATCACTAAATATAACTTTCTTCCAAAAGTTATCCGTCTTCAATTGATGAGTTTTTGCAAAGTCCAAACGCTTTTTCTGATTTTGTAAGCTTATAAATGGTTTCTTTCTAGCTGCTTGACTGCTATATCCAGCATGTCTAATCACATTTCTTACAGTTTGAGCACTTCTGCACATTATTCGAGAAGTTTCTGCAGCTAGTTTGACTGCACTTAGTTTAGGATCAGTCTTGATATCTTTCAAAATTTTTCTTTAGGCTACATCACTCAGAATATCTTACTCTTCCACTTTTATTTTCAATGAATCCATCGCTTTTAAATCTTCCAATGATTTTCTGTACACATGAGTGGCTTCTACCGACTATTTCACAATAAGATTTTCCTTTCTTAAATAACCTTAATATAAATTTTCGGTACTTTTCCATTTCGCCGCCGCAAATCTTCCCAAGCAGACTTTATTGGCGACAACATACGGTGTACACATAAAAAATGCTAATAAATGTTCGTTCTAAGAATTTTGTATTTTGAAGGCATAAACATTTTAATATTGTTTAAAATTTTGTAAAAAGCCAATAAATAAAGACAATAAATTTGTAAAAAGTCATTAATTGAAGAATTTACTATGCTTTCATGGTTCAACATCCTGATTCGCCGGTTCATATCACGTGATTCCAAGTGATCTCATCTCACGTAAACTACGCTACAAAAATCTAATTTTCTCAGTAATTATTTACATTAATTTTAAGTTAAATCTTAATTTGGAATACAAGTTTAAATGCAAGAATTATTTCAATTCGTACGAATAGCTTACTCAGAAATTATGTAGAACCGAGGTGCTTTACTTCGCTAGTGCATTCTCATTAGAACTGATGACCCTTGACTTTGCCTTTTCTATATTTTTGCCTTTGGGTGAGTGGTGTGATTGCATTCTAGTTGATTTAATTACCGCGAATGGCTTAGGGTATAAAATTGAACTGTCTGGTAAAAATTCTATGTAATTATATGCCAGTATTGAAAGAAACAATCAATCTGATAAGAAGTGGCTGCGACTTATTTAGAAACTGAGGCATAAATGGTTACCAGTGAGGTTATTCCGTTTGGTATCTGTTGTAGCACTATTGGCGACTTTATCGCCTGCGCCGGCAAACCGGAAAAGTTCCAAATTTTCTTACATCAATACTGGTCTCTCTCCTAGGAGCCATTTTCCATTTAAAATTGCGACTTTAAATTCACAAAACCAACTTCAAAAGACAAAAATAACAGTAAAAAATGTTTAAGATAAAATTGCCCAAACTTAGATTATGATAGTAGCAAGCAGAAAAAAAATCTAGTGGTAGTTAAACAAAAATTTCATTGGTGTATCCTCAATTTTTTGAGGTAAAAATCTGCTTATGTTTATTTGAAATGCCTCTGAAAATTTTTATTTTAAAATTTTGTTGTTGATTTTTCTTTATTTTTACTGTTAATTAAACCTTTTGTTATGTCTAAGAATAAAAGTACGTTTGCACTTCTAGTTAATGTGTTATTTCGATTGAAAGTTGGATTTATCAAGTAAGGTGTATCCTTAATTGTTTGTGCCACTGTAAATCAAATTGAACGCCATGAAATTTAGTGACTGTTTTGTTGTTGCACATAATATGAATTCTTGATATAGTTTGCAGTTGCTATTTTTAACTTGTTGTTTTGTTGGTCGTATTGTGATAGATATTAAGTAAATAAGTTGGTAAAATTGTAGTATATGGTATGACTTTGGAACAATTTTAAAAATTGTTGTGAACACGAAATGACGCGTTTACGTTTGTCACCAAATTTTTGGTAACGTCAAAATGAAACATCACGATAAGTTTGCGTGAGCAAAAATGTAAACAAAATGATAAATCCCTAAGCATGCAGTGAGAAACAAGAACAAAAGCAGGCATTTAGAAATTGAAAATATTTTTTAGGATACTTTACAACAAATACAAAACAAAACTTACTTCAGTAGTAAGCTTGCATCTATTGTCCATTGAAGCATGGCATGTTTTCCTTCTAGCTCTCCAACTTCCAAAAAAATTTCGTGTTTAAATATTGATCAACATAAACAAAAAAAGCTCATCATAAGCAAAAAAATATGGTATTGAGCTAAAAAAATCCTTATAAATCAATAGAACTAAAATCATTCACGCTCACTATTTTGCTAAATCTCGTGTGAACCATATAAAAATCCCTATAAATTGATAAAACTAAAATCATTCACACTCACAAATGCGATATAGCTATACAATTGACAACTCAACAAAAAATACCAGTTGCCCATTATTTTTACAGTTATGGTATAAAAAAAAAGGGGTAGAAATCCATCAAAATCCTGCCAGAAACACTGAGGTTAGAGTTGACTTTAAGGTGCCCATTGTATTATCGCAACGTTGTTGTTTCATTTATCGCCAAGTTGTTGTTTCGTTTTTCGCCAAATTGTTGTATCATTTATGGTAACCTGAGTAGTTGAATGTTATGGAAACCCTATTATGACGTAATCGTTTGCATTATTCTGGGAAATTTTAAATCATGGGATGTTTTGCAAAGGCTTTTGTGGTGTGTGTTAGGAAATAATTGCTTGTTTCATTGTTTAGACGATACAATGGCTGAATGTAGTAGAATTAATTTGAAGCTTCTGTATGATTTGGAACAAAAGGGGAAAAGTGCATTAACTGAGTGAATTAATCGTGTAAATGAAGGTTTACTTAGTAGCCATAATCTGGAACTTCGTAGTATATTTTTGACTCTTATTTTTGTGAATTTCTGTGGCGACACGGATATACGGATTGTAGTTCAGATAATTTTAGGAAGATTTTGGGTGCTGTTAAGGAATTTTGTGCGCCACAAACTGAAGACAAATGAATTTCTAAATAAGGTAAGGGGATTTTTGCTTTGTGTAGTGCTAAAATACATAACAGGTTTTTCCCTTTTTTTTTTTTTAATCTTGTTTTATTGTTTGGTTTAAAATGTAGTTTATTGAGATTATGTATTTTTTGTTTGCCTCTACTGTAGACTTGGGTGCTCCTTTGATTTTTTAAGTGAAAATATATCGATGTGTACATGACAAACTCAAGGGGTGCTAAAGCCAGTTTGTGCATTCGGGATTTTTTAAGTGAAAATAGGTCAATGTGTACATGGATAAGTCAAGGGAGTGCACAATGTCATTTTTGTGCAATTTGAGGATTTTTTTTTAAAGTGAAAATAGGTCGATGTGTACATGGATACCGAGTTTGTGCAATTCTTTGACTTGTTATTTTGGCTTGCATAGCGTCAATTTTTTCGCCAAAAATCACCGCTACACAGGCCAAAACAACAAGTCAAAGCATTGCACAAACTCGGTTATCCATGTACCTACAAAAATCACCAATGGGTACCCTAAAATATACTTTTACCAACACTGATACAGAAAAAACTTTATTGCCTGAATTTTGAAAAATCTTGTGTATGTAATATATTAGGATTAAACAAGTTAATGCAGTTTTAATAAGAATACATTTTAGAGAATATATGTCTGGTGCCAAATTGGTTTTCTTTCATTTCCAAAATTTATTTTGAAATTTATTTTATAATCCACTGCTTGCTGTTCTGATGAAAGAATGCCCCAAATTTTAGTCATTTTTTACTCCCAAAATGCTGGGAAAAATACAGCAGTAACAGAAATATAAAATAATCCCTGTTTATAAAATATAAAATGTGGCTTATCGAGGATCAGTTGGTGTTACATCATAATAAAGCAGATCTTTGAAGTGTGTTGTGATGTTACATTTATCCATAATTGGCAGTAAATCATGCTGTTTAGTAAAAATTTCATGTTTGACGACATAATGCTTAAGTACCAGGCAACTAATGAAAGTGACACATTGGGAGTTTAGTTTCAATACTTTACCGTAATCAGATATTAGATTGTTATACCCTGTGCTCATAAAAGTCATGATGAATAAATGTGATCTTTAGTCATAGATATATACAATGCAAAGTCTGAGATTCAGACATCCAGTATGTGGAATGATCTAAAATCTGAATATCCAGACCACCAGCTTTACTCTTGCACTTTGATATTTTTCATAATAAAACATGTGGAGAGTCCTGAA